ATATATATATATATATATATATATATATATATATATATATATATACTATACACACGGCAAGGCGGGGGGAAAAGACATTTGATCCGATTTTCAAACGGATGCTCCAGGGGCCATTAACAATTCATTTATACTATTAATATTAATACTAAGCTAGACGCTGTGAGCTAGCGATTCTAATTTGTATGAAATGGTCTTTGAAAATTAACTGTAGACTTTGAATGCTTCTTAATAAAAGCACTGATGGCATACGTGTATCATATGATACAACATTGTGCTCATGATGGCATGCTTGCATCATATGATACATCATCGTACCGATGGCTTGCTTGCATCATATGATACAACATATGTACCGATTGTATCGATGGAATGCGTGCATCACGTGATACAACGTTGTACTCATGATGGCTTGCATGCATCATATGATACAACATGTGTACCGATTGTCTCGTGATACAACATTGTACTCATGATGGCATGCGTGCATCATATGATACAGCAATGTACCGATGGCTTACATGCACCATATGATACAGCATTGTGCCGATGGCATGCCTGCATCATGTGATACAACATTGTAACAATGGTTTGAGAGCATCATATGATACAACATGTCAACTAATTTAGGCACTGGGAAAATTAAAAAAGCAACAACAGGCAGAGCTAGCCTCTTATCTGCCTGACTGAACTTTACTCTGTAGTCAGGTCTGGGCCTGTCCCCCCCCCCCCCCCACCACACTTAATTTTTTTTTTNTACAATTATTAAAAACATGTAAACTAAGTAAAATAAAAAATGAGACACTAGGATAGTAACTAGTAACTACTATACTATAGAAACAATTAAAATGGCTATAAAACGTTTGACACGTTTTGGCCTATACTACAGGATCAACCCGAGACAGAAAATGAGGCAGGGCAAGGAGTCATCACAGGTCATAGGCGGACCTAAACAGATGAGTTTTAAGGGACTTTTTGAAAATGGACGAGGTTTCACAATGACGGATATGGAAGGGGAGCTGGTTCCAGAACGTGGGCCCATGGAAGTAGAAGGAGCGTTCACCGATGGTCTTAGTTTTGGTTCTTGGGATTGAGAGGGTTCTATTGTCAATGGAAAGAGCGACCAGATGGTTTGCTCAAAGATCGCTAGATTTCGTGTCCTTTGTCTCAGGATTGAGAGGAGGAAATTATTAATTACATTTTTTTTAGGGTGGGGGGGGGGGGGGTTATAATTTCAGGACGACGCCACTATGAGAAAGCCGGAGCTGAGATTTTGATTATCAATTGGCCAATCCGAACACACAGAGGAGATAATCCGTGATACATTTTAACAGTTTATTGTGACGTCATTTTTATTTTGTTGTTTGTGTTGTAAATTTAATCTGTTTTAATATGTACCTCGTTTGTTGAACAATACGTAACAAGGACTGAAAACCAGTTTACAAAGAAAAGCGATACCGAAGCTAGTGATATTAACAATATTCAATTTAATTATATTATTAAACTTATATAAAGAAGACAAAATAATAAGTACAGACATAAAAACCATAGCAATTTATAGCACATCAAGTGGAAAAAGTACAACTCTCGAAAGATACAAATATTATATTACTATACACACATATAAAGAGTAGGGGCCTACAATCTTGTAACTATATTACATCTCGTAAATGTCTAGGAAAAATAGCAACAATTTCTCTCCTGTTAGGAAAGATACCGGCTTGTAAAGATAGGGAGTAAATTAGAACCAACCAGAAAAGAAAATATAGAAATTGCGTCATCTGATAGGATTCTTTTGAACCAATAGAGCGTATTCGATTGTAAACAACCTTTTCCCAAATTAAGGGAAGGGTGAGTAAAAGAATTAGCGCTACACATTTAATCGGTGACGTCAATATTGAAACAAAAAGGGGGAGAGGGGGGTGGTAAGGTTGAATGCCACAGCTGGTGGTGAACAAAAACTAGGTAGACACACTGGCTATGACACAGCCACTAACGCGCCATTAGTTAGGGTGGCTGCTCAAGTCGACAATGTGAGTGATACGCATACAAAAAGTATATGTAATTTTCTTAACAGCATCACGGAGACCTTTTTAGTTCTACCAATGTGGGGAGGGCGACGAGTTGGGGGAGGGGGGGCATTTGTTGGGGGTAAGGTGGGGCGTCAGGCAAATAAGATTGCGAAACACTGCCGTAAAACGTGTTAAAAATTTTAAAATGTTAGCAAAGATCGTGCGAGAGACATTCAAAATTTGTGAATTTTTTTAGTGTCAAAACTAAAGGACAGAATCTTTGTATATTTATTATGAATTTAACAAACAACAAATAGTTATTATCATTTATTTATTAATTTGAAAGCTACAACTATTGTGTGTTATATTTAATTCAATGTTAAATTTTTTCACAAATACAAATGGCCACTTCTATATTTTGAGGGCCCATGATCAATTAATTGATCATTCTGGTTCCTATGTTTCAGAGGGGTTCGCGATGTAACTGAGCATGATTTTGAAGGGGATACTTCACTGGTAGCAAGGGCCACACTCAGCAGTGGTATTATGAATTGGGGGTTGGAAGACTGGAGGCAATAGACGCAAACGTGTCAAGTGTAGTCGTCTCAACTGTTGCTTTTGGAAGCTTGTTTCAGTCTGTGATTGTCTCTGATTGTCTTTGGCAGGAAAGAGGAGCTCCAGTACTTGTCTATACATGCACGTAACACGAGAGCCTTTTGAATTATAGCTGCAGTTGGTCAAATCATGAAAAATATAAAACCGTTAGATAGTAACAAATCATTTTTTTAGGTTGCTCTCTTCAGTTTTAGGGCTCAGCCTGTTGTTTATAAGCTGTCTCGGAAATACCCTGAAGTTGAGGGCCCTGATTGTAATGCTCAGCTTTTGTTTATTTTTGATAATGTCCTGTCAGATTGTTCACAAGTTATGACCCCCCCCCCCCAATGAGGGATGTAACAACTGATGTCATCTATAAATGTGGGCCAGTACAGATGTATATGATACACAGAAGCCTGTACAGCTCCTTGTTCACAATTTATGCCCCCCCCCCCCCCCCCAATGAGGGATGTAACAACTGATGTCATCTATAAATGTGGGCCAGTACAGATGTATATGATACACAGAAGCCTGTACAGCTCCTTAGACGAGAAGAGCAGGTGTAGCCATGAACTCGGTTCTTCCACTCATCCTGGCGATGCTAGCAGTCACCGACGCAGGTATGCCAACAAATACACTATATTTCTAAACTATGTTTTTAAACGCAAGGCGTAAGAAGGCATTTGCTGACCAATGAATGGAAGTTTATTTTAATATTCACTACATCTAGTTTTCAAGATTATTATTATTTTTTTAAATAGGCTAAAATTGAGAAAATTCATTTTGAAAGCATAAATTCCAGAAAACAATAAATTAATTGTTTTATGTTTGAAATATGCACATGACATACACAAGGAGTGATTTATTTTAGTTGTTAAAGCCGTTTAAACAGATTGATTTGTGACAGAGCCCAAAGTTATGCTTACCAGCAGTGCCGTCGCGGCTGCAGGGGGCTTCGACTATTTGGAGGGTCCACATCTGTGATGTGGAGAAAACGTAGCTATCAAATTGTGATGGCAGGGGATACACAACCTAAAAGTTGCAGGGGGGCCTCCAAAATTCACGCGACAGCTCTGCTTATGAGAAACAGTGTCAATTTCGAAAAAATTTTTTTTTTAAATTACGTCTCACAAGTTTAAGACTTATATTGAAATATGGAAACTAATCTATTTTTGTATGCAGCACTGCAGATTGCAGTAAATCCGGGGGCTTTGCAGTTTGGCAATTCCAGAAATCTAAACATCAGATGTTCCTATTCCAAAGAACAGCGACCAGCCCCGTCAAGGCTCCACTACTTGCTCATCTCGTTTGCCAGCGACGTCGAGAAGCCCGTGTTCAGATACCTGGCGTCGATCAGCATAGTGGACGGGTTGGATAAAGACACCGAGGCTGCGGCGGCAGGTCACATCAACATCACCAGAGGCGAAGAATCCTGGCTCAGTCTAACATGGTCGTATCCCTTTTTTAACCGGGTCGGGTTGTACAAGTGTGAAGCCAACAGTTTAAATTTAAGAGGAGACGCAAGCACTGTGTCTAAAATTGTCGAAGTCGGTGGGGTGAAACAGTTGGAAGGGTCTCTGTTTGATGTTACTCAGAATCATTCTATGGACGTTGAGCAGTTAAAAAATGATAGAGGGTTTCTGTTTGATGTTGTCAAGAATCAGTCAAGGGACTTAGAGCAGTTAAACACGAATAAAGGGCTCCTGTTTGATGCTGTTGAGCAGTTGAAAACGGATAGAAGGCTCCTGATTGATGCTATCCACAAACAGTCAAGGGACTTTGAGCAGTTAAAAACGGATCAAGGGTCATTGAAAGCCTCGTTTTTAAAAATAAACTCTCGCTTTGACAGCGCCACGCATGCCCATTTCTCGGTATCCCCCGCACACAATGGCAGGCGCTATTACCTGTCGCGTGCATCCAATTTTTTGGTGTTCAACGAAGTAGACACTGTTTGTGCGCTCTATGGCGGTTATCTTGCGGAGGTGGACGACAACGCCGAGTTTCAATTCATCAAATCATTTCTAGCGGCTTACCCTCAATATACCGGTGTGCTGTGCAGCGGCACAGACGAGGTAACTGAAAGTCATTGGGTAAACGTCAGAAGCAAGACCCAGGTCAACTACATTAGATGGGGTCCACACGATCCGAATGGTGGGAGAAAGGAAAATTGTCTTTTCTTTTGGCAAAAAGGGGGTTGGTACATGGCTGATTGGATTTGCCCTCGCGGAAAAGTTGGTCATGATATTGGCTATCTCTGTGAAATTCCGGAATAAATAAATGATTCAATAGAACTTGATTTTTTTTTTTTTAATTTGATTAAAAAAAATAAATATTTCTTTGTGTCTAGCGTTAGCGAAATTTTGTTTAAGGCACCCATAAAACAATTTTTTTTTTTTTTTTTATATTTGTTCCGTAGTAATATTCAAGATAGTATTTGTAAAAATTTTTTTTTTTTTAATTTGATTAAAAAAAATAAATATTTCTTTGTGTCTAGCGTTAGCGAAATTTTGTTTAAGGCACCCATAAAACAATTTTTTTTTTTTTTTTTATATCTGATCCGTAGTAATATTCAAGATAGTATTTGTAAAAATGTAAATAAAAATATAGTTAAATCGATACGCTCCACAGATAGTACTAATCGATACGCCCCACAGAGAGTACTCTGTACTTTAAATATATTTGGGATATACACCGTAGGACAATATCACAATAATCGATAAATATTAAGATCACTCACAAATTGGTTGTTTTATTTTACTTTGTCATATTTCAGCTTTTATATGTGCTCTAAACTTTGTGTAAAGTAAACTATATGTGCTCCAAACCAGCGTTTCCCAAACTTTTAGGTTTCACGGACCGGTGGACAAGTTTCGAAACTGCACCAGGGACCGGTGCCAGATTTATTAATTACATTTTCTTTCTATTTAAACATCACTATTCATGCTCTCTGGACCGGTAACATAGGGCTTGCGGACCGGTGTCGGTTTGACGGACCACCGTTTGGGGAACGCTGCTCTAAACCATATGTGCTCTGAACTATATGTGCTCTGAACTATATGTGAACTAAACTTTATGTGAACTAAAATATATGTGAACTAAACTATATGTGCTCTGAAATACATGTGCTCTGAACTATATATTATGCTCTAAACCTGCATTTTTGAAAGTCATTGTCTCAAGTTGCGTGTCTCGAATAGGCGGGCACTTAGACTGCTGAAGGAGAAAAAGTTAAATACGGTTAACAATACAGCGCACTGAAAAATGTTGATGTAAGTTTATAACTGAAACTTTCTTAAATTACACTCAGTCCAGCTAATATTTTGTGCTTCGTATGTCTCCTCTGTTATTGATGTTTCATTTTTCTTTGTATTAGCATTTCCACTTTCAAATTAAGGCACATATGTGCATAAAATATTTACCCCGCTGAAAGAGCAGCATTCTAAATGCTCGCTTCGCCTGCACATCTAATGCATGAGCCACAAATTATATTTATCTAATTCGAAAGAAAAAATAGTCACGTGTTCGAGAGCTATTGTTGAAAAAGTCTTTATTCACCAGACTTGTCAATCAGAATAACAGCCTGAACTTCAAATGTTTTCAACCTGTCAACAATCAAAATTTTAAAAATGTAAGACGTGAGAAGCTGAAATGCGCAACTGTCTTTTATATTTTAGACCTTAGAAATATTTCCAAAGCCGATTACAAACATTGAGGAAGAACACTCTCTGTATCATTTGAGATAATTTTGAGATAAAATTAAGGTATTGCATGAAGCAGTTGCAGCAATGAAGTGAACTCGCTGATGCCTCACAGGATGTACAACAAGTTGAAGTACTGGCCGTAAAAAAAAACAAAAAACAAAAAAAAAAACGACTGGTCAACATCTCTTACTTTTCACTACTTGGAAACACATGACGGCTGGCTGACAATTGCACGCATGCTACTACAGGCGTTCAAGCTGTGGGAGTATCAATAGTGTTAATTTAAATGGAGGGTCCCTAACGAAGGCCTCGGGGCTTTAAAGTTAAAAAAAGCATAACAATCAATAAATAATAGCAGATGTTCATGGGTCACATTACCTGAACCATGGAACCCCCCCCCCCGGCCCCCAACCACAAAAGAAGATAGCTGGTGTTTTTTTTTTTCTTAATTTTTTTTTGACCACCATTGTGAAACCAAAGAGGATTAAATTCAACCGTGTCCTAGAACCGGTTTGTTTCGGTTCGGGTGGACAGGTTGTTAAATTTTGACTATTCTTCCAACCGATGTGTTAAAATGGTTTAAAATAATATTAATAAGAGCAGCATACAAAATGTGTTGTCGGCGGCGAGTCTAGTGCCAAGCTTCATCTCGATAGGATGACGGGAAGTGGGTCAATTAGCCATTTGAAGATTTTGCCGCCATGAAAGAAAAAAAAAACACACGAACAAATACGAAGTTAATATGAAGGATTTAAAAATACCCCATGTTTTACGCACGAAGAGGAGCCTTGCAAGCTGACCCTACGTGAAAGATTAAAGTTTTAGGAACGTGAAACCTATCAATTTAAAGACCACTTAAAATAAGACCAAACCAACGAAATGTTTTGATCATTTTTTGACGTTACAAGATCATGTCTAAACGGAAAACACCAAATATGTAAGTTTAAAAAAAAAACAACAACATAATTTTAACAAAATAATTTTTTTTTTAAAGGATGGGGACGATTTTGGAAAATTCCAGATTACAGTTGGAGGGGGACTGAATCTGAATGACTAATGGAAAAGCACTTATTTGCTATAATTTTCGTCCCTTTAATGTAAAAAAAAAATGGCACTCTTTGTATCTCTGGTTTTTACGCGACACACCTGCAACCCTAAAGAGGACACACCTACAACCCTGAAAAGGACACACCTGCAACCCTGAATAGAACACACCTGCAACCCTGAAGAGGACACAACTGCAACCCTGAAGAGGACACACCTGCAACCCTGAAGAGGACACACCTGCAACCCTGAAGAGGACACACCTGCAACCCTGAAGAGGACACACCTGCAACCCTGAAGAGGACACACCTGCAACCCTGAAGAGGACACACCTGCAACCCTGAAGAGGACACACCTGCAACCCTGAAGAGGACACACCTGCAACCCTGAAGGGTGACACTACGAACGATGGTACTAAAAATATGTGTGTAATTTTTTTTTGACGTTCAATTCAACGTTGCAATGAAGCACTCAAATCAAATCTCATAAGGCATTTAAATTCAAAACATGTCATTTTAAAAGCAAAAATATTTATTTTGTTAAATGAAGCATACCGAACTAAAGCATTGCCAAAAATGTATTGTTTAATGGATCGCACATAAATGCTTGTGTTTTGAGAGCTTCATATAAGTTGCTATTCGATCACTTTCAAGTAGGGTTTCTTAGAAGCTTACATTGTTCGATTATAAATATCGCAATGTTTCGAAAATTTGTCGCGCTCGATTATGAACCGAAATATTACTTACCGTTCGCATTTATATAGATATATAAATATATATATATATATTGTTTAATTATATTTTGAAAACTCACAAGTTTAAAGACTTTAATTACACCGTATTTAACTACATTTGCATCAATTTTAAGGTCTTAATTTGAATATATGTCTCACTAAGTTTCAAATGTGAGCAATCTTTTCATGTTTTCAAATTACATTTGATAATAAAAGCACGACTTTTAAACTAAAGAATGGTGTTAGACTAATTAAAAATTGAATGATGGCATTATTCTTTAAAAAATATAGTAATTTTTTTAGCATCAGTGTTTCTTTCAGCTATCTCTCAGGGAGGGAACTGCCCCCCCCCCAACACTGTGTACAACAATATAACAAAAATATTTTTTAAAATTTAAAATGACTGTTGCATAGTAACTGGTGCCTTAAACCGATTACAATTAGTTGAATCTATATCGCTAGACTCGATATATTTGATGATCCGTATATTCAAGGCCTATCGCGTCATTGTATTCGGTTTAAACATCGAACTGACCGCCCCCCCCCCCCCCCCCCCCCCCCTTGTTCGCATAAATTGCTATTTTTATTTATTTATTATTTGCAACATTACAAGTTTAAAGACTTTAATGACACTGTATTAAAATACATGTACATACCTATAAAGGTCTACAATTTTGATTATAGTTAGTAAAGTATTAAACATGTGCAATCTTTTTTTCAAACTATAGCTCATCGTAAAAACGTAACTAAAAATTAGCCATCATTCAATTTTCTTCTTCCAATTTAGAATTTAAAGAGCGCAAAGAAATAGCGCACGTTTCCAAAATTGTTAATAGATCAAAAGTGTTTTTGTTTTCTTTAATAGTGCTACCTTTGTTACAAAGTTTCCTGAGTAACAGATTTTTATTTTTTTTATTTTTTTATTTTTAATTCTTAGCCTATATTTATTATTATTTTTAACTTCCAAACTGCTTTTCTCTTTTTAATGTCAGAATAACAAAGTGCCCCATCCATTGGCATTGCCATCATTTTTTATACTGTTAATTTTATTTTAGCTGAGAATCCAGTAGAAAGCTAAGATTTTTTGTGTTGAAACCTAGCATTTGGATTATCATGCCAATTCCATTTTTGGTACGTTTAAAAAAAATATCCTTCCCTAATTCGTCAGTTTAAAATAGATTCTGTGGATTTAGATTAAAATATTTAAAAATATAGCGAAGAGGCAATTTAAGAAAGTTATAGTATTTTGAAATAAAAATGTCAATCTACTGAATCTGGTAAATTCATACTTTATTTGCACACGAATTTTACCATAGATAAAATCACACATTAGTAAATATAACGTGCTCTGTAAACAACTAACTCATATCTTCTTAAAATAGTTATGCCGTTCATATGCAATTTATAAAAATGACCAGTTGTCAAACCCATAAAAATGTATAGATCTTTCTAATAAACTTGTTTTCTTTTTCTTTTTGACTCTGGTAAAATTTGGAAATATCTAGAAAAAAAAGCATTATAATTATAAGTAAGTTTGTTTTTTTACATTTGCGTTCAACCTATAAAATAATTTGTGCAGTGCTTTTTAGTGATTGAACCATTTTTAATTGATTTTTTTTTAAAACTTCATTTATTTATCATGTAGCTATCCCTAAAAATAATGTAAATTAAAAATAAAAGCCAAATTACTATTTTTAGTTAAATAATTATTATAATTTGTTTGTGTGCATAACACCAGCAGGTCAAGCAATTTCCGTTTTGCCAACCCTGCATGAAAAGATGATAATTAATAAAATATCCTCATCACATCTTTAAGCCCCTAAAATATTCGAGGCACCCTTCGGTCGTAGGGGTTGCTGGGCGCACACGATGGCTCTTAGGTTAAGTGAGACCCACACTTTAACTAGGATATCTTCCGTTGTGATGCAATCAAGTGTAGAATGACGCAAAACAACATTCAGACATGTGAACAAATGCATTCTTGTATATTGGATTTATAAAAAAAAATTCTGGGGACTATAATGATTTAAGGGGCGAGAATAATCTAGAGCAAAAGCGTACCCTTAAGGGGGACATAACTGTGGTGATGAAAGCGTACCCTTAAGGGGGACATAACTGTGGTGATGAAAGCGTACCCTTAAGGGGGACATAACTGTGGTGATGAAAGCGTACCCTTAAGGGGGACATAACTGTGGTGATGAAAGCGTACCCCCAAGGGGGACATAACTGTGGTGATGATAGTTTAAGTCCCGCTGATGCAAAATTTAAGATGTCTTTGGTCATTATTATGGCTAATATTGCCATTTCCAACCCGCAAGTTTGAAATTCCACCTCAAAATTGTCTGAAAGAAACGACACATTCAAGTACGCGCCGAAATAATGCACCCCTGCATTATGAATTTGTACAACTGTCTTTAGCGCCCTTTTTTATGCACCCCTTCCCTCACGCTGATCAATGGTACAGTATGGGGTTGATCATAAGCTTATGCCTAATGATTACCCTGGGGCACGCCCCAAACGGAGTACATTCAGTTTATGTAGGGCACTGGGCTAAATAATGCATCCAAAAAACTTTAAAAATCTTCTTCCCTGTTCAAAAGGTATAATAGAAACATTCGAATTCAGGTATACTAAAAATACACCTCTTGATTTTTAAAATAATCAAAAATTTTCTGGGGAGCAGGCTCCCCAAACCCCTCATCCGATCAAGATTTATCGGCCCCTATCAATTTCCGCCATACTTCTCGATGAAAATGATCGCTGATTTTGGTATCAATAGATACCCTGGCTAGTGGCGTAGCTACTATTAAGGCTGCCATGAGCGGCCAAATATTTTTGCCATTCTCCCTTTCCCCATGCCAACTCTGCAGTTGTCCAAAAATATCACACCAGCATAGAAATAAAAAGTAACACCTGGGTGGACCACGCCCTATTTCGACGCCACTAGTAGGGGTGTATGTACAGTGTTTGGCGTCAGGGGACAATATTCATTTTTACGCCCCCCCTCCTTCCAACCCTGAAACCGGTTATTTTTAACCAATTAATTCTAACAAAGCCCCCACCCCCCCCCCCCCCCCCCCCCCCCCCCCCC